TCTGTGGAAAGCCCCGCCCTCCGTGTGGGTGGTCCCTCCCTCTGGGTGGTTCCTTCCTCTGGTTCTGTGGCCCCGCCCTCTCTGGGTGGTTCTTCCCTGTCTGTGAAAAGTCCCACCCTCTGGGTGGGTGGCCCCACCCTCCCTGTAGATGGCACCGCCCTCTGAGTGGGTGGCCCCGCCCCTGCAGCCTACACCCTTTGGGTGTCTCCTCCCAGCTGACAGTCACACTGGTCCTGGGGTGTGAGAATCAGTGTCCCCACCCAGCCCAGACCTGAGGGTGCATCCAGATCTAGGGAGATTAGGGTTTACATTTCAACCCACCCCAGTTGTGCTTTCCTACCCAGCGTCCCCTTTCCACGTCTGCAGAGAAACCCAGAGTTCACAGACCCTCCTTATACTCGAGGTGCAAACAGTTAACACACTTGGCCTCTAACTGCAAGGCCAAAGTTCCGAGAGGCCTTCCCATGTGAGGTGAAGAGAGAAAGATGTGTTTTGTGCAGAGAGAGCAGATCAGCAGCTTGGAACAGTGGGATGAGGCGGGCTGGAGTGACCCAGACCAAAACCCAAGCCCGCTGCTGCTGCTGCTGCTGCCTGGTTCCAGCTTGGTGGCCTGGAGATCAGGGTAGACCTGCCCAAGGCTGTAGACATAGACAGATTGCATCAGGTTTCTTCTAGAGTAGCTGGTGGGTTTGAACCACCAACCTTTTGGTTAGCAGTGAAGTGCTTAATCCACTGTGCCACCAGAGGTCCAGGAGTAGGCCAGGTCAGCTTTAACGAGGTGTGGGAGCCTCTCAGCTGACAGATGAGCTGTGAAGACTTCAGCGTAAGGGCTTTGAAAGGTGAGGGAGAGGCGCTGTGTCCTGCAGAAACCACAGCCTTCACATGGGTGGGGCAGGGGCGGAGGTGGGGTAAGGACAAGAGGCTGCGAAGAAAGAGAAGCGGGGACGACAAACCAGTGTTCCGGCCTCTGGAGGACTCTGACAGGTCCACTCGGCGACAGGTCTGTCCGGAGCCTCTTCTCACGTACTCCTCCAGCTCCTAAATGCTGCCTCCTCAGAGTGGCTGTCCCTGACTCTCTGACCTAAGTGATTCCCCCCCATTACTGTGTCGTGCATCTCCCTCACACTTCCCGGTGTGATTTGGTAACACTCCTCTCTTTATGGCTTCTCCCACTGGTCCATGAAGCTGTGGCCTTTACCTGTAACATGTTGCCACAAATGAGGGTAATACGTCAAAGAAAAAAAAAGTGTTTCTAAGCACGGTCATCAATTTAAAAGTGTGCGGCAACATGTTAAGTCACTGCTGGATGCAACACCTGGTCTGAAGCAGGTGGAGGTGGTGAGGCTGCCATCGAGTGGGCCCCGGCTCACCGTGACCTCAGGTACGCAGCCCAGGAAGGAAGTCCTACGCCATCCTCACGACTGTAGGTGTGCTGGAGTCTGTGCTGCAGCCTCTGGACACCTTGACTGGCTCCTGGTACAGGGGGCTCCTACCAGCACCGTCAGAGAGGCTCCATTGAGGTCCATGGTGTTTTCATTGGCTGGTGTTTGGAAGGAGATTGCCAAGTCTTTCTGCCTACTCTGTCTGTCGTAGCAGCTCTTAATTATGAATGTCTTTCTAATTTTAGTCCACACCTCAATAATTCCCATTTTTTAAAAAAATTATTGTGATTTGAGGGAAAGTTTACAAAGGAAATTGATTTTCCATTTAAGCATTCACACACATTTTGTTTTATAACATTAATTACAATACCCACAAGGTAACCACACATGCCCACTTCCTCGCTGTGATTCTCATTTCTGTTAATCCATTTTCAAGAGCTTTAGGAGGGATTAAGATCCTAGTTTTTGTCAGTATGTAAGGTGTGCCTGATACAGGCTATGGTCTTTGCAATCACTTGTTATGCATCAGAGAGTTGGTCAATGATTAGGGAGGACAGAAGGAGAATTGATGCCTTTGAGCTGTGGTGCTGGAGAAGAGTATTGAATGT